TGCATCTGTTTAGCAGATATTGTTACTTAGCACAGATATGTCATTTATCAGGTCCTAAACGTGAAATTTAGACATTTTGATTTTTTTAAAAACGAATGGAAAATATGTTCTTGACATTTGATATAAGTATATACGTAGAGTAACAAAATGGCATTTCATCATATATTTTACATATTTCATTGGAAACGTACGCATCAGCAATGTCTAACAATATAAAAAACATTCTTCTGCTGTTGCTCTATCACTTCAAAAGCAGCAATAAAGCAGCGAAGACTCACGGTCTAATTTGGCGAAGACATAGTCAAACCTGCAATAATTCAATAAAATTTATATTTAACAGAACGTGCTCGGCAAATAATTTGATAATCATAATACACTTTTTTCGTTGCAGAGATAGTTTTATTGAAAAACTAAGGTTTTCGACCTATTCTGTAGGCCATCCTCAGGTTGAAGTAGAAAATTGAAACATCCACGTTCCAAAAATGGAATACAGCTCTCCCTTATTAGTCCGACAGGTATGGGACCAAAGGGGTGTTGGATTATCAAAAGTGTCCGGATTACCGAAAATAATTACATATTTTGCATTGTTTTGCTAGCAGTAGCTTACAATGTTCCCTACTCCAACTGTTCGAACAGAACTGCTCACAGAAAACACACGAAATGTGTGTCATCGTGTAAAAATTGGATGGGGAGATTAACGTCGCGACATGCTTCTGTGCAAGCAGACACGTAACGGGGACGGGTACCTTGACGGGACGTGCGTCGGACTACTGAGCATGTCGGATTAAAAAACGTCGGACTATCAAGGGAGAGCTGTACATATATTTAAAAAACGTACAAAAACAAGAAAATAACAGAAGAATAATGTATAAAAATATAAATATAAAATAAAACACAAACTCAGATACAGTAATAAAAATAATAATCTACTAATATTACTTTGAACAAACATTAAAATAAATTATTAATGTATAAATTATGAGTTCATGGTAAACTTTTTGACTATAAACTTCCAAGCCGATGGTAGGCTTTCTGCATCAGTTGCATTTATGCATGCTTCTTTCAGTTTGCTTTTGTAAATTTCAATTTTCTCAGCGGTTTTTGCTAATGTTGGGAAGCTTAAGGGTTTGACAATATATGCTTTATCCCATTTTATTATCGAGCCTTGGATCTGTGCCATGTGGAAATGTGCTGTTGTGTTGGAACCTTTTCTGATGGTATTTGAGCCTTACTTCCAAATTCTTTGTTGTGGCGCCGATATATTCTTTCTTGATTCCTAGCTGTACGTTTTCGTAAGAAATCTTGTGCATCCCTGCATTTTCTTCTTCCTTAATGTTATCTTTGTCATTTCTTAAAATTTTATATAGGTTCGGAGCTTTTTTAGAACCATTCTTGACTCTTTGCGATCCTCAATTTCTTTCATAATACCTTTCGTATGTAAACATTGTGACTTTACTGAAATCATATTTTAAAGCCCTTGTTGTGCTCATCTCGGATTGTGCCTCTGAGTTTAAATTTATTTTAGAAAACAAATTTTTTTAATTTCAGCTGGAATCTTGTTACATTAATTCATATTCTTTTGTCAATTATGGCTCAAAAATTTTTAGATGAATAAATTCCATATAATATTATGATTTTGGAAAATCGCATAGTGGTTAGTGACGTTCTTTAGCCCGTTATAGATGTTATATTCTGAGTGATGAGGAGAATGTATAAATGAACTTCATACTTATTACTGAATAGTACATTTTGAAAAAATTTTTAAACATAATAAATTCCTTAATAATGCTTTTTTGTAAATTGATAGACTAATCAACTCGTTAATTTTTGTTTTATCTTTTAGATATCTAAAAAGTATTATGCTCTGTCCACAGCGCTGTCACAATATAGAAAGCCCTTCTGATTACAGCTCGAGATGCTGCTAGCTTATAACGATACGGAGCATTTGATTGTGAGGGGATAAAAATCATGCTGTGCAGAGGTTTGATGTAAACACTGGTGGATAAATGTCTTTTTTTAATTGGACTTCAAATTAAAACTCCTTTTTTTGTCTGGTTGTTAAAGCTAAAGCAAGATTCGTAGAACATCAGATTAATCAGCTCTACTAGCTCATTGTTGTAACGAATCAATTCGGGGATTTTTGAACATGAATTGTAAAAGTGCAAGATTCGGTTTTTATGGAAAGATATAACTTCTCATAATTCAATACCATTCCTATTTCCTATTGCATTAATGACATGTCTTGCATATCTATGACCACGATCCCAGGATCCTGTGTCACTAGTACACTGCTATCAAGCTAGGAGTAGATAAACTTGTGTAATCTTTCTTCTAAGACAAAAGTTGGTCCCCTGTGTTTTTCTACTATTGGCGTTATTTCTTACCGTCTTTGTGTGTTTTGGCGAATGCAAACAATCTTGGAATCCAGGCCTTGGATTTCGGCACTTCTTAAGAAAAGGTAAAACAGTAGAAAGCCTTGTTCCTTCCAGTCTTTTCACTCGTTTATCAATGCTCTCAATGATTTTGTCGTTCACATCCCGGTTTGTGATGTAATAATCTTCCAACGCTTTGTTGTAAATTTCACTTTTCATGATAACCTAACCAAAAGTTTACTTTTGTCCGTTATTGTAGTCACCAAATCGTAGACCCTCAGCCAACGTCTAGTAAGCAAAATGTCCTTGTTCTTAACTCGTCATATCTTTTAACTCGCTTAGTTTTTAATGAGTGTTTTCCATCTGAAGTAATATTTTTCTAACGAATCTTTTCCAATGATCCCTCTTTCAATTTCTTGAATCGAGGTTTCCCAACTTTCTTCACTCTCCGGGACGAAGTTCAGGCCTTTCTCTGGAAATTCTTTGATATTCGCCAGAACCTCTATTTGGTCCCACATGACGAATGTTGAAATCTTCCTCTTACTCTTTCTTGTTATTTGCTTAATGATGATCTATTTCATTTTATTAACATACTTTCTTGTAAAATTTTTATGAACTGTATCTGTTAGACCAACTAATTCCTTTATTAATTTCTATTGACTTTTCCTGATCTTCGTTGTATATAGTATTTTCGAAGTCGACAAGCTCACGCAAGACTCCACACTTTTTTGTTTTTCTCTATTCTGATAGACTTACAAAAGCATACCAGACAAAAGCATACCATTTAACTTTCAGAAACAGGCATTCTTTTGGGACGCTGATTGACATCGGTAATATTTTGTTTTTCAAACATTCCCTTTTTTAAAACGATTGTTAAAATCAGAAAATACAAAGAGCTGGATAAGAAAGTAACGTTGATTTTAACAACACTTTTTACGACTTTTCGTTTTCATTATGAATTTATTTTTATACAGGCAAACTCGTTCAAATTGTAAAAAAAAATTGTTGAAAATCCTTCTAGGGATAATTTATATATATTTTGATGTAATACAAAACAATGAAACTGTAAGTTATTTAAAGAATTTATACATTATTGTCGGGTTTTAGAAAATTGTTATCATCATTATAAATTTTCTATTAGAACTTTATTAATGTAAACCTGCTGAAGAGGGTCTTTGAGTTCCGAAACACGAATATTGTGTACACAGGTGAAAAATCATGTAAAAAATATATTGTTTTTATGAATAACACTTCCTGTTTTTGAAAAAACGGAAACACCAGTATAATAAGTCCTAATAATTTACTAAGTCCAAGGTAGAGAATAATATAACAAAAATAGTATACCATAAGGACATAAAGAAAAATGAATTAATGCGTCTGTTAATGTTTAAATGAAGAATGCGACATGTTTACAAATTGAATTTTTTTCGCAAATTCATTAAATTAAAATTTATTTTCACCGAAATCACTGGAAATTTAATTAAATATTTATTTATAATCAGATAATTAGGTCCGTGCATTGTACAAATATTAGTTTCTTAAATAAATAAAACAATACAGGAAACATTCACTATTTTACACGAAATATTTAATAAAGCTGCTTTGAATATAGCTGAAAAACAGGAATAAGAGACAGTACGATTATTGATTTTTCTATCTTTCCTAACCGTCCTTCACTAGTAAAATCGATATTTCCTAGTAACCGAATAACGATTGATTTCATTTTCTGTCAAACACAATAATTTATTATAACATATTTTCTATTAGCACAGTGGATTTTTCATTACTAACAATTGACTCACTTAAGTCTACATATTAAACATGGATGAAAGTGCGAAAGACACAATGGAGTCCTCTTGTTCCTGTATGTTATTCACTCCAACATTTAATCTCATGAAATTAATCGTTATAGGAAATATTATAAAGTGCAACCGTCAACACGATAAGAGAGCTGCGTGGAGAAAGTTATACCAATTCATAATATTCTGTATATTTATGATGTTTCACGTACTTTTACATTTGATATATGTCTTACCGAAAAGATATTCAGTTTATTTTTGTTCAGATTTTTTAAAATGTTATTCCAAAGAAGAAATAATGAGTTACAGTCTTTTCAACGCTTACGTCTTTCTGAGTTGTAGCATTTACGTTTTTACGGTTATCAACGAAATGAAAGGTAATAAAATATATTTATATTTTAATAATAATCGAGAAATATGTCGACTGCAACAATGGCAAAGTGTTTTGGTCATATTCTTTGCAGCTTGGGTAATGATACCATTTATAGCTAATAACATTGTGTTAGGTGTATCAGCCTATCCAATGATTGCTAAATCTACGAACCACATTGTAGCTTCGACGTGCTACATCTTCTTAACTATATGCTTCTCGTTAACAACTATGTGTAATATATTNATGTGAAAAATTGGGTTGTCGACTTCGTTTCTTGTTGTCTTCCATGTTTGTATCTAAGCGCGTGTTATGTCTTTCTGAAATATCCAATCAAGTAACGTGTAAGAAAATTTTCTAGCAGCGCCAGTGTCGAGATCATTGGATTTACTAATCCTGTTTTTAGGGTCTCGGAATTTAGTAATACTTCGGTAAAATATGTTAGTGTAAACATTGTAGCTTCGACGTGCTACATCTTCTTAACTATATGCTTCTCGTTAACAACTATGTGTAATATATTAACAATTATGGTAATTTTGTTACTTTTAGTTACTATAAAAGACAAATTCGATGATTTGGCCGAAGAAATTTATAATTATCGCGTTGAATCCGTGGAAATGAAATGTTTTCTTCGATATTGCCGGCACAGATTTAAAGAATGTTGTCACCGATTGGAAGAATTCAATCTGATGTACAAGGATTTGTTAAGTTTCGGTTATTGCTCATTAATTTTTGTAACGTGCTTTCTTACATGCATGCTTCTTTATGTCGAAATGGATAAAGTAGCGGCTATGTTTTCCATTCTAATACTGATTGGTCTAACATTCATCGCTGCAATTTGTGTATTATCTGCTGCAGAGCTGAATGTTTCGGTAAGTTGCTTTTAATTTATATTGAGAAATAATATGAAATGGTTAATATATAATTATTGAATAATTCTATATATTCATTCGAAACTTTCGGAAATAAATTTATTGACTGTGGAAAATCGTTTCAAAAGATACATAAAGCATTATTAATTAATAATATCATTTTGTTTTAAGTGGAATTTCTTAAATTGTGTTGATATATTCTTTGTTTTATCTACTTTTAAGAATTTTTAAACTCAGTTTGTTGTTAGAACTAATATTTTATTCCATGCCTCGTGTTTATCTCTAAAAAAAAGTTGTTTATGTCTTACGGCCTCTCTTTATCAAAATGTCATTTGAAACTCAATAGATAAACGATTAAAACCACACTATAAATTAATAATATTCATTCTCCCTAATTTGTATTTATTATATAGGCCATATCCCCTCTCATGGAATTAAAAAGGTTCTGTACTTTGGAGATGGCGACAAGTGACAGATTAAAGGTAATTAAATATGTTTATTTTTAATACTCTTCCACCCTGTGGGCACTACGCGGGCCTCTTATAACAAGCACATTATGGGTTCGACCAGGCACACAATGGGGCAATCGTGTGATGAGGTACAGGGCCCGACATATCCGAACGGACTACTCCCGAAAATTTCCTGAGAAAAAATCCCCAGGAAATTTTCGAGACCCGTTTTGTTTCGATCCCTGGTCTCTCAGAATGGTAGATTGACACCTTCACCGCTCGGCCATCCGGCCTGTTAATTAAATATATTATAAATATACAAATTTAATTATAATTTAGTGTATTTAGAAGCAACTATTTCTATCCGTATTGTATTGGAGAAGAAAATATTAGAGAGGTTGCGACTGAAGTTTGACCTTTAAACTTGTACGGCAAGCAGAAGTACACGTTTGACGTTCAAACTCCAAGTAAAACACGTTACGCCTCACGTTCACGTCGCGCACTGATTCATTGGATATTGTTGAAAAATGGCGAAAAAATTCAAGAGCAAAAAGTTTACCAGCGAAGTTAAATAAACAAACTCAACTATTTCTAGAAATTCACAAACGAATTATGCTATTGATGGTTGAAGATGCCGTGAAAGAACAAATCTACTTCTACCGTGTTATGATAAGCCTTTTTAAAAACAATTATATCAACATTTTATAGGCACAAGATAAAAAACACACACTGTATATTGTGACATCGTCACAATGCCGGGCAGCAATTTTTAATCATATTATTTATTTACTGAACTTAAAATATATGCTCTTCACCTCAAATTAGCAGTGACTTACCCCTGTACATCATAATTTTCCTTTCACAATACAGTCGTGGTGGTCATGCATTTAACACCTTTCAGGGAAATTTTTAGAACTGAAATAAAACGACTACCAGTTTGTAACGGATGATTATATGTAGGGCCTCCTACCTCTAAGATTTCGATATGTGGTCTTGCCTTTCATCTGTCTAAATCCAGTCTGGATATTAAGCAAGGACAGTCTGACAGTGTAAATTTATAAATTTACAATTTATTAAATTGCAGACAAATAACATAAATATAAAATACAGTGGGTGATCGGTTAACGAACATAATCCGTTCCAAGACTTTGTTCGCTATCCGAATTGTTCGTTAACCGATTATCGATTTACCATAGGTTTTAATGTGAATTAGATTAATTCGTTCTGGAGACCCCCAAAAATGAAAAATATATACTTTCTTACTACGTTTATTTATATGTAATAATAAAAATACATACATACACAGTCTTGCGTTTTCATTACTCATGTTTTTTCCGTTTGAAAAGGTTAAAGAATCTGTCTGATGTCGATTGCTTTTCTCTGTTCTTCAGGATTTTTCGTAAATAATTAATAGCATTGCAGTTGTAGAAATTCCCAAGCCTCAACCTGGTTTGGATGCCATTCTAAGACCGTTGTTGTGACATCCTCCCACTTCTTCAAAAGTTCCTTAATAATAGATATCGAAATAAACTTCTTTTCCAGAAGAAAACATATCTCGCTGAGTTTCTTGATGTTCTTCATTCAAGAGTTCTTGGCGTTCTTCTGTCGTCAGATCCTTTCAGATTCCATTATGAACTCTTCGATGTTATTTATTTCTCAGATGTGATTTTTGTTACTCGTTTAGCTGTTTGGGTTTTCTTGATTATACTGTATTTTTCTTAAATACAGTAAGATTGAATTTCGGCCTACTGTAGACTTGTTCGCACCATATTGCCTAGCAACATTAGGCACCTTCTGCCCACTCTCTATCTTTGCTATTATACTGTCATTTTTCGAAAAGAAAAACAGAAGAAAACTTAACGAGTGCCTACCCGACAGTCTCGTGAATACATAAAATAATTGTTTTGTCAGAAAAATAAAAGGCTGAAATTACAAGGGAGAGTTTCAAAGTTCGAAGGAATACTATCCGATTGGTATAAACCGGCTTGAGCGTCGATGTCGATGTCTCCCGCGCTCCGAAAAGTTTCGAGTTGTTACCTGAAAACAAGAGAAAATCAATCGGTATTCATTATTTTACATCGCTTCTTCTTGTGTTTATTCTGTGAGGTGTTCGTTATCCGAACATAAAAATCTTTCTCGAAAGTGTCCGTTATCCGATTTGTTCGTTAAACGATCTGTTCGTTAACCGATTACCCACTGTATTCAAGTCTCACTTGGGTGTGTATAAACAAACAAATAAAATTTATATGAAAAGGATCTTCAAGACATATCTATTTATAATAATAATCAGTTCTATTTTACGTATATCATCCAATAATAAAAACTTAAGTAAAAATTGTTGAATTTTTTATCAAATTTAAATTTGTAATATTAAAATGGCAGGTAAAAATTTGAAAATATATATTAATTCACATAAAAAAGAGCATGAAATCAAAATAGTTAGGGGAAAAGATTAAAAATATACACGGTTTTACTCAGAAATCTTAGTGAATACTTTTAACACAGATTAAAACAATTTATTTAGAACGAAACTTTTTCAGCTCATTTGCACTTTGAAGTTGTTGGACGGTCCTACAATCGGCATAAAATGCTTGGAATTTACATTTACTAAAATATCTCTCATAAAGGTAACACATTTCTTAAATTACATTTTTAATGAAAGTTTCAATACTTCAATAAACAATCATTTTATTTTATTTTTACAATAGATGATAGAGAGCGAATTTTCATTCTTGTCCAGTCTGAAGGAAATACGGGTCGCTCAGGAGAAAACATAGGATGATGTGGATTCGGAATTCGTCAGAAGATAAGAATATTATTTTTAAAATGTAAACTTTATATTACGGAAAAAAGATTTTGTTCAGTAATTATATTCCGATAACAACAATATAATTTTCACGAAGGATGTAGGAATCTATCGATAAGAACTAGTAAAGAAATCTCATGTTTACAACATTAAAAAAGTTACGAATTTAAAACTTCATTATAGAATATTTCACTGAAAAGTTCACAAGATTAAGATTATTTTATATTCTGCTTTCGGAATTTTTCTAAATATTGTTTTTCATAAATATTTCTTTTGTCTGATAATATTCTATCAAATACAACTTTAAGAATGCCGAATAGAAGTTGTATAACTTTCCCGACAATATCTATAACTTTGGTAACGCCATTTGTTACGATGAGTTTTATATAAAAAAGTAAAAATGCTAATAACCAGTAAAATCTTCATTACTTCTGTCCCCACTAGAGATAAGACACATGACCACCTGTATCTTCTCACCGCTCGACCTTCAACCACCAAAATTCACAGGAGTTATTAAACCAAATTTTTCCCAAAACAAACTGAAAAACAAACACATTAACGTTTATACATAAAGAAAAAACCCTGAATTCATTTGCATTTCTCGATGTCTGAACGTACCCTGAGTCCAAAAATGTAAAAATCTTGAGGAGAGATGATTTTTTGACACATCGGCATTCTTTCCCGTGTTATACAGTAGTGGCCAAAAATAGAACTACCCTTCACATATGTTTAAAAGCGCGACCTCTATTTTGTTCACCACCTACTACATGATTAATACTGTGATAGTTGAATAGAGCACAAAAAAGAGTCAAAATATTCAATTAATTCAAACAAATTTTATTTTAAATCCGATTTTAAAAAACGAAGTTTTTGTATTTTACGCTGTGACAAAAGTAGTGCTACCAAAGAAAGTATGCAGATTTGTCCGGTATTTCTAAAACAAAATATAAGTATTATGTGGCATAAGCAGAGATTCTAAACACCGCATTACATCTACGTTCAATTCTGCTAAATACAACTTTATTCTCTTTTACTCTTAGACTCTTTTTTGTGCTCTTTTCAACTATCACAATATTAACACCGTAATGTAGTAGGTGGTGAACAAAATAGGGGTCGCATCTTTAAAACGTATGTAGCGTTACTATTGGCCGCTACTATATACAACAGGTAGGAAAGCAAACATCGTCGAATTATTTTTATAAACATTTGAAAATTTGAAATATTCATGACGATAATTTGAATATAGTACTGTATTTGGAATACGAAATTGTCGATTTCTTTGTCTAAGGTTCGGTCTTCGAACTAAACTTGAAAAATCACTTATTATTATTGTTGCTACTACTGTTGTTCATAAAATAGCGATACTTTGCAAGGCTGATTCACACGTTTTAGATATGGTTATTCAGCCTGGAAAATGTAATGAGGATGATGCTCGCGAAAAGACGTTTCAAGGAGGAACAGCTGTTAGGAATACAATAATACACGCTTTCAATGTATGAGAAATATGCAGTTATTAAGTACTTTTTGAAATTTGTGTTTAATTTCAGACATTCGTATGCATAACTCATAAATAAAGCATCATAAATTTCAAACAAAACTTTTCTATAAATAAAAGTTTTGTTTATATATAGCGATATGATTATGAGTTGTGTTTGATAAGTTAATTAAACGTAATGCAAATAGTATAGACAGTATTGTATTTAATAATAAACAACAAAAGCTTCTTGGAAAATGTTAGTTTTTTAGATTATGCTTATAGTTTTTAGTGAATCAGTAGATAAAAACGTATTTTCAGTTAAAAGGTACGAAACTTGAAACAAAAATAAATAAAAATTGTTATATATACTGTATATCTAAGTGTTTTTTCTTTTCCTTTAAAATGTTAAATTTTTAATGATTAAATTAGCCTATTAATTGTTAATATGTTATCATGCTAAGTCAAAATATCGCATACAATAGTTAGTTTGGAGTTCTGAAAGAATTCTGTATTACTTTCATAAAATTAGAACCTGTAATCAGAATAAATTATTGAATAAAAATTATAAATAATTTTCAACAAAATAACTATAAAAATAAAATTTTTTCTGTAAAAGTTCGTCCGATAGAGAATTATTTCGAATAAAATTGTAGACAAAACTGTCCAAAAAGGATCACCATTTATTATTTTTTATGTTCCAAGACTAACACATTTTCGGCGACTGACCTTTCTTTTTAGGCTACTTGTCGCCGGAAAAATTACAAAAAGTCCTGTTAAAAAACACTTCCTATTAAAATTTTAAAAAATTTCTGAAAAAGGAAGTGGTGACATACAGTTGTCTTGCTTACTTCTATCTATACCTTCTTTTGGGGGTTTTCTCTGCTTTTTATCTACTAAAAATTGGCGCTGGAATATGTAGATTTTTAGAAAAGCTGCCCCCTGGTGACGATACATGTAGAAATTTCTTCTGTAAAAGTTCGTTCGATGGAGAATTATTTCGAATAAAATAGGTATAGATGGTATAGATCAGGGGTGTCCAACCCGCGGCCCGCGGGCCGCATGCGGCCCAAGGCAAGTTCCAATGCGGCCCAATGATGGTGTAAACAAAACCGACAAATGTTTTAATTTTTTTATTATTTATTTATTTCAACGGCATAAACTCAGAAAAGAAATTTCANAAGGTATAGATGGAAGTAAGCAAGACAACTGTATGTCACCACTTCCTTTTTCAGAAATTTTTAAAAATTTTAATAGGAAGTGTTTTTTAACAGGACTTTTTGTAATTTTTCCGGCGACAAGTAGCCTAAAAAGAAAGGTCAGTCGCCGAAAATGTGTTAGTCTTGGAACATAAAAAATAATAAATGATGATCCTTTTTGGACAGTTTTGTCCACAATTTTATTCAAAATAAAATTTATTAATAAAATTTTTTCAGACATTCTTGTAATTTTAGAATACAAATACGAAACAATATAATTCATAATGTAAAGTTACAATTCGTTTCAACGCTTCTTAATTCTTCTCGTAGTAATTCTATTTTTAATTGATGTTCTCTTATTTGTAGGGCTTTTTGTTTTTGCACGAGTTCAATTCTACAATCATACTTTCTCTTTCTTCTAAAGTGTTCTTCCTCTATAAAATTAAATTTTGCTTTACGCTTTTCTTTTTAAAAAATGCATTCGAGGTTTGTGATAGTCCAGTGCATATTTATAAATAATTTTAAAATTACTACGACGATTATTATTATTGGGTGTTTCACTCGTTGTTGAATCATCAGAAAATTCTGGTAAATTCACAAGACGTAAATCCTGTGTGAGTACCTGAAAATATGTATGATATGTAAATGAACATTTTTTCAATGTGAAAATTATTTTGAAGGTAATATAGATCAGAAAATTCATTTCTGTTTGATTAATTAGTTTTTAGTATCAAAACATTATTAGGGTTAAAATACTCTGTTTACATAATTTATATTAACATCAAAGTATAATTTTTGATACATGTTTTATTACTTTTATATGATAATTTTACAATATTCTATATACAAAGGATCTTTGAAATATAATCCTAAAAATATAGTGAAATATGTATAAGAAGAATTAACTGTTTAACATTTACATTTGATATATTCATATTTTCAGAACAGTAATACCCCGAACTTACGCGATAGGTGGGACCGAGCGATAACTGCGTAAGTCGAATTCGCGTAAGTCGGGGTATAATTTCGCAATTCATGTAAAACCCAAGTCGGGTGTAAGCTAATAAATGTTCTCGTTAATCTTATCTCTCCTTTTGATTCGTTCACCGTTGCAAGAAATCACCACATAGAGTCTCTCAAGTCTCCGTAGATATAACAAACACAAAATAAATTGTAGCTATGAGTGGATTCCGCGCGACACGTCCGAACATGTAAGCTGATAGTGTGGGGGGGAATGAGTAATCAAGAGTTGCTCAAACAAAAGACGAATCGTCGAGATTTGAAAATCGCGTAACTCCGGGTTCGCGTAAGTCGGGGTAGCGTAAGTCGAGGTATTATTGTACTTGATTCTTTTGACTTTTGTTGCAATAATGCCGGAAATTCATCCACATTTTTCGAAAATGAATGCCAATGTTTATAACTTTTTTATTAGTGTTGATTTATTATTATTAACTGTTTTATTGCTGTTTAATTTTGATTAAGTATAATTAGATATAAACAAATTTACCTTCATCATATGCATTAAAATCAGCATCACTGTCAACAAGATTGGAGAGAGGAGGCGTAAATTGCTCGGAGATTAAAGAGATAATTTTTTCTGTCATTGCTGGCATAGGACATTTAATATCGGCACATACTTCTCTCCCAGTACTCATTCGTACGTTTCGTATTTGACGCCACATCTTTTCTTGCTTTCGGCTTCAAATGCTCCCACAAAATTTTCAAGTTATTCGTGTCCCGTTTACTAACCTCAGGAAACTTATTAAATTTTTCGGTTATAATTTCCCATCTCATTTCTTTTCTTTCGATTCTATTATATCTTCATAGTTTTCGATTAGTTCCAGTAAATAATCTGTTTTTCGATGTGAAAAATTGGGTTGTCGACTTCGTTTCTTGTTGTCTTCCATGTTTGTATCTAAGCGCGTGTTATGTCTTTCTGAAATATCCAATCAAGTAACGTGTAAGAAAATTTTCTAGCAGCGCCAGTGTCGAGATCATTGGATTTACTAATCCTGTTTTTAGTGTCTCGGAATTTAGTAATACTTCGGTAAAATATGTTACTGTAATCCTTGCGTCAGTAATTACGGTATCCATCTAATCGCTGGTTTTCAAATACCTCTATTAGGCAATGTTAGTGAAACACTCAGTAAGTGTTCAAATAACCACTTCAACAACTGACTGAACGAGTTAATAGTGTCAAAAGGTAAGAGCAGCCAAATTTTTACATAATCATCATGTAATACAAAGAGTGAAAGTGTTAAAATCAAAGTGACTTCGATGTTATCGGAAGAATATGAGTTTGTCTATTGGAGAAATAGGAAAATTAATCGTGCCTGATTAAATATTACATTCACACTGAAGAAATATTTTAGACATTGCCCGATGTCCATATTGCTATTGGTCATTGTGGCTGAAACCATTTGCAAAAATAATTAAGTACGAAATATAAAAATATTACAAGGATCACAATTTACTTGAACTTAAGTG